AGCTTACGTTGGAGTTGTACACTGAGCTATTCCTTTTGAATAATTTCTCATATCTATTAAAACTCTCTGATTCGATTGGATAGAGCACTATAAGCTACCCAGTTTGATCGATGATCGAGCTGCGAATCAGTCATTAACCGGACAAATGCAGATATTTGATTTGTTTATGGATGGTTCTCAATATAGGTTTGTATAAAAAACAGCAAGGCTTCATTAGAAAATTCTTATTTTAAGCAAATAACTCTCAGAAATCAAGGTATTTATTAGTTTTTAAATCACCAAATTTATTTGTAAAATGTAAACGCAACCTGCATAATTTATTTTCTGTGTTGCGTTTACATTTACAAATAACTTTGATTACATTGATAAAACCTTCAAGACAATAGTGAATGCAAAAGAAAAACAACAACCCAAATGAAACACCTTATCAGATAAACATAAAGACAAAAGATGTAGAGAGAATCTTTGGATCAGTTCGTTACCGGAGCAACGGTCAAGCCTGGAGAGACTTTAAGGAAAGCCGGACGAGAACAAAGGTCCTCCCACCACGCCTTGACATTAGGACGGTCGTTGATCAAACCGGCGTGACTCGTCTTCATGAAGTAGTAAGTGTAAGGAACGTGGTGGAGATCTGCGAGTGTGTAAGAATCTCCGGTCAAGTATTTTGTCTTGCCGAGTCTCTCTTCATACACATCGAGCACTTTCCCTAGCTTCTCCAGATTCTCTTCCACGATGGCTGCATCAGGAGTCTGGCCTTGAAGAGGCACAACGATGAGCTGGTGGATGACGGCGGAAATCGCGGGGTTGAAGTGGTGAGACTCCACTTCCGACCAAAGCTTCACAATAGCTGCTTCTTTAGCGTCTGCATGTCTCGTCAGATCCGTTCCTTTGTCTTTGTGTTTCTCTGCTATATATGCCGTGATTGCTCTTGACTCTGTTTTTTAATATATACATATCAATATTGTCAAAAAAAAAATCATCATTTAAAAGAAGATTATGATATTGATACTAACCAAAAAGGGTAAGGTCGTCGTCTTGTAGAACAGGAACTTGGCCAAAGGGCTACGTCAAGAAGAAGAGATGTGACTAGATAAATCATATTAATAATATAAATGTGTGCATAATAAGAGTGTGTTGATAAAGATGCGTACGTTCATGGAGAGGAAAGAAGGGAGCTTGTGGTGGCAAGCAAAGAGATCGACGGGGACAAGCTCGAACTCAGTCTCCTTCTCGTGAAGGCAGAGAAGCACACGTGCCACGCACGCTGACATCCCATCTCCATATACCTTCATCGCCATTTCACACTAACTTCGTAATAACTCGGAAGAGAGAGTGAGTCAGAGACTGAACTGTGATCTCACTTGCTTCTATATATATAACATATGCTTGGTGTCTTGTACAAAAAAGCCAATATGAACGTGGTCCTGCTGTTTCTTGGACTTTTAACAATTATATATAAATATATGGAATCTAGGTTACGTAAGTAGTCGAATCTTTGCAGTTTTTTCAGAAGTTGGTCGTTGAAATTTGTTGGTTTGAAATAGGATTCCTTTTCCTCGTGCCTTGAAACTCGGGTTTACGATATCTAACCTCTGCCTGCTTATGAGGATCCGTGAGCGTACACTGTAGGAGGTGGGTTGTACCCACCCCTCAAGGCCCACGGGAAATCACATTCGGCCCGGTAAGGGTGAACAGTTAATAAGACAAAAAGATTCACTTATATCCGAGTGGCGCCCGTACAAGTAGGAAAAGGTGTTATCGAGCCGACAGCAGGCCCAATACCGGAGGCCCACGAGCCGAGAATGACCTAGGTTAAGACCGAAGAGTTCGAGCTATAAAAGGAGAGGGAAGGAGCACGAGCGAGGGATCCAAAACTTGACATAGAGACGGCGGCATAGATTAGGGCAAATAGCTAGGTTTATTCCGTTCTTAATCAAACCCAAACGTAATCCCGGTAAAGCTCCCGAGCACCGGGATTCTCTTTGTACTCTCTCCGTTTATAAATAAAATCTCCCGTTCACTCGGTTCGTCTAGATTTACACCTTTGTGATAACCCACCGACGAGTCCCGTCACTCATTTTACTGACACACGACCGAACTCGGTTCAAACAGTTGGCGCCCACCGTGGGGCATAACAAAGTAGTGTGATATAAAGATGAACGAAGAAGCTCCCTCCGACGTGCAACCGGAAGAAACTCCACCGGTTCCGAACGCAGATACCCTTATGGATTCCGTCCTGGCTCGGCTTGCTCATCAAGAGGAGGTTCAAAAGACGACTAACGAGCACCTCGCAGCCATCGCCGCCGCGCTCGCAAACCCAGACGGAAATCTCTCGACGGCTCGACGATTTCTTTTCAACACAAACCCTACTCCTACTCCTACTCCGGCAAACCAACCCATTCAGCCGATTGACACCCCGGTTGACACCGTCCAACCAGCGGACAACCCAGATCTGCAAACCGTTCGCGAAATCGCCGAGTTGAAACTCGCACTTCAAGAGATTCATTCTCAGATCCATCACGTGACGAGTGCAGCTCCTCAGATAGACAAGGTCCTTGCAACCGCCCTCTGTACACCCTTCACTCGCCGCATTACCGACGTCAGACTACGAATCACGGAGAAGATCCGCCTCCCTACCTTTGGCGGCACTGACGACCCATCGGAACACATGACGGCATTTAACATCGCCATGGGCCGGGAAAATTTCAACGACGCCGAGCGAGACGCCGGCTTTTGCCAGCGATTCGTCGAGAGCCTCGAAGGAGCCGCGCTGAACTGGTTCTCCCGCCTACCGGAAAACTCCATTGACACCTTTCGTGATCTCTTGACGGCTTTCCTGAAGCACTACATCATGTTCACTAACCAGAAAGCCACCGCCTCCGACTTGTGGAAGCTATCTCAGCTGCACGGCCAGACCCTAAGAGACTTCATGGAGAAATTCAAGGACGTCGTATCTAAGGTAGACGTCCCCGACAACATCGCAGTGGATGCCCTGAAAAATACGCTTTACATCCACTCCAAGTTCCGAGAAGACCTCTACCGCAACCCAACGACATCGCTTCAGGACGCTATCGCACGCTCGGACAACTTCATCCGAATGGAGGAAGATACCAAGGTGATAATAAGCAAGCAACATGCGAATAAACCAACGCCGAGCAAAACCTCCGACTCAAAGCAAGAGCCGAGACAACACTCGGCGGACGAAAAACAGCCGAAGAAGAAGAGCTTTGTCTACATGGTAGATGAGGACGCCATCTCCGACTCCACAGTCATAGTTCGCGCCAAAGGATGGAATCACTATCAACGTAAGGAGGACGGTGAGCTCAGCGAACCAACATCCTCGAAACCCGAAACCGATGAGCGCGAACCGTACTGCTCATACCATAAATCCAGGGCGCACGACTCAAAGGATTGCAAGCAGCTCAAGGAGATACTGTTCGGAAAATATTCCCGTGGCGAAATCCCAACCGACCCTCCAAAACCGCGTCCGAAAGGGAACAACAGCTGGAGCAAGAACAAGGATAAAAGAGGCCAGAAATCGTCCAGCACACCCAGCAAAGCGAAGGAGGAAACATCGAAGTCTGAGGAGAAAACTGAGCCCCGCGATCGCGACGAACCGCCTCCCGAGGAGGAACGACCAAAGAACAGAAAGCGGATCCAAGTCATACTCACTGGCCCTGAGTCTCCATCTGGACCCGAGTCTTCCTCCGACAACGAGAACGAATCCCGAGACCTGCGTTCACTCCTCACCATGTGACGTTCAGCCCGCACACCGGATGCCGCCCACGATCTCCGAGATACCATAAACCGATACAAAACAAGCCGAATCGTACCAGATGCGCAAGTCGTCGACCTCCGGGATAAATTGAACTCCACTAAGAGAGACCTCCGAGAGACGCTCAATCAATCGAAGCAGCTCGACCTACGCCAACACTTGGATAAGGTCAGGTCTTTCGCCACGTCCGACCCGCATTCGGGGGCACCCACTCGGCTCAACTTCATCATGGGGGGCTCACCGCCCTGTGACGATTCGGTACGCTCCGTTAAAACCGACCAAAAGCGTGCAAAGTCCTCCGGAGGCTGGAACGCTCTACCCCTAGACGATCCCCGAATCACGTTCTCAGCCGAAGACGCCATCGGGGTACACATGCCTCACAACGATCCACTATTAATTGAAGTAGCAATCGCCGACTGTGAAGTAACTAAAGTCCTCATCGATACGGGCAGTTCCGTCGACCTGATTTTCCACAATACCCTCGAGAAAATGGGAGTCGATCTCCGACTCATCAAGCCCTCGACCCGCTCCTTGACCGGATTCAATGGCGCATCCGAAGACATGCTCGGCACCATCCGCCTTCCGGTATACGCCGGGGGCGTGGCACAAACTGTCAAATTCTCTATAATCGGTACGAGCGCCCCGTATCACGTGATACTCGGAACGCCTTGGCTACACTCAATGAGAGCGATCTCATCTACCTACCATCAATGCGTCAAATTCCCAGGCAACGACGGACGCATCCGCACGCTTCGTGGTGATCAGGAAGCGGTTCGCGCGTTACTCGTAGCAAATATCAAGCAAACTTCACGCCGAGTAAACAACGTGACCGCCAAACTGATACACAAAATCTATCCCCAAAAAGAAGAGATCCAAGAAGTTCAGCTCGATGACAGTAATCCAGGCAAGGTAGTTCGGATCGAGGCCTACCTGCCGGATGAAATGAAGCGCGACATCGTCGAGTTCTTGCGAGCCAATCAATCGACCTTTGCTTGGGAGACGTCAGACATGAAGGGAATCGACCCCTCAATCACCTCGCACCAGTTGAACGTCGACCCAACTTTTAAACCCATCAGGCAGAAGAGACGAAAACTGGGACCCGAACGATCCAAGGCGGTGAACGAAGAAGTTGAACGCCTACTCGCAGCCGGCTCAATTACGGAAGTTCGGTACCCCGAGTGGTTAGCCAAACCAGTTGTCGTCAAAAAGAAAAACGGCAAGTGGCGTGTTTGGGTCGACTTTACCGATCTCAACAAGGCCTGCCCGAAGGACAGCTTCCCGCTCCCCCACATCGATCGCTTGGTAGAATCAACCGCCGGGAACGAGCTGTTAACGTTCATGGACGCATTTTCCGGCTATAATCAAATCTCTATGCATCCCGATGACCGAGAGAAAACCACGTTTATCACAGATAGAAGGACCTACTGCTACAAGGTTATGCCTTTTGGGCTAAAGAACGCCGGCGCAACCTACCAACGTCTCGTCAACAAGATGTTCGCGAACGACCTCGGCCGAACAATGGAAGTCTATATCGACGATATGCTGGTTAAATCGCTCCGCGCCGCAGACCACCCGGAGCATCTCACGGCATGTTTCCGAACGTTAAACGAATACTGCATGAAGTTAAATCCGGCCAAGTGCACATTCGGGGTTACCTCTGGTGAATTCCTCGGGTACATCGTGACACAAAGAGGAATCGAGGCCAACCCAAAGCAGATCTCGGCAATCCTCGACCTTCCCAGCCCGAGAAACAGCCGCGAGGTCCAACGCCTAACCGGCCGCATCGCAGCCTTAAACAGGTTCATATCCCGATCAACGGATAAATGCCTTCCGTTCTACGAACTCCTTCGAGGTAACAAGCGTTTCATCTAGGATGAGAACTGCAAAGCAGCATTCGCGCAGTTAAAGCAGTACCTCACCACGCCTCCAATACTCTCGAAACCCGAGTCCGGCGATATTCTCTCCCTCTACATCGCCGTCTCCACAACCGCGGTCAGCAGTGTCCTAATTAAGGATGATCGCGGAGAACAAAAGCCTATGTTCTATACCAGTAAGCGTATGACCGAGCACAAGATGCGCTACCCGACACTTGAGAAAATGGCCCTAGCAGTAATCACCTCCGCGCGAAAGCTCCGTCCATATTTCCAATCTCACACGATTGAAGTCCTAACAAACTATCCTCTCCGGACAGTCATGCAAAATACCAATCAGTCGGGCCGACTGTCCAAATGGGCAATCGAGTTAAGCGAGCACGACGTCGTGTTCAAAGGACGTCCCGCCGCCAAGTCTCAAGTCTTAGCTGATTTTATTATCGAGCTGCCAAAAAATCTCGAAGAAGAACTCATCCAGGAGCTCGCACTACCTAAAGGAAACTGGATACTCCACGTCGACGGATCAGCTACCAACCAAGGATCCGGAGCCGGCGTGCAGCTCCAATCCCCAAGAGGCGAGCTAATTCGCAAATCCTTCAGTTTTGGTTTCCCGGCGTCAAACAATGAGGCCGAGTACAAATCCTTAATCGCGGGCCTTCGATTGGTGAAAGCGGTCAACGCGAAA